TCAAAAGTGAGATCAGAAAAAAAAAAAAAAAATGAAAACTGAGACCACGAGGGTTTTATCTAAATGTTCGTCACCTTGATATTTTAAGTATTTTTTTTTTTTTTTGCAGGTGTGTTTTTCCCGTGAGTCTAGAGTAGATATACTGATGGACTGAGTGGATTTTTTTTTATAAGAACTGGCTTAGAGAAGGACCACACCGACTGCCAGAGAGAGCAAGTAAAATTCCCTGTCAAGGTAATGGTGTGTGAGCCCCTGGAAGATTAGAAATAAAAAAGTGATCTGAATCAAGTAATTGGATACACACACACACATACACACACATACACACACATATACACAAGCACACACACACATATATACAAACAGACATACACACACACATATGTGTGCGTGTGCTTGTTTGTGTATGTATGTACATATGTATATATATAGAAAATAAATAGATAGACAGAAAGACAGATGCACATGCTGATATATGTGTGAATGGGATTGATTGTGCGTTGACATGCATCATAAATCTTCCACTTCAGTAGTTGCAATATAATCGGAAATTGTAATAAAACGCTAGAAAGAGCGATGTTTGGTTTTGTTTTCCATAAATTGATCCAAAAAGCAAAGATTGGATGTAGATTTAATGAGTTTGATTGGTCGTAATGTCTTCTTTATGGTACCCTCAGGTTGTATGGTAGCGGGGTACCAAGGGTGGTACCTGTCTCTATCTCTTTTTGATTTTACTTTTTTTCTTTCTTTCTTGCTCTTTTTTTTCATTCTTTTAAAATTTGTTTTCCAACTTTGGTTTTGTGAATGTGTATTTTTTGTTCCCTTTATTCATGTCACTGATTTTGTCAGTGTCGTTTTTATTCTTCTCACTCTCTTTTTTTATCGCTTTCTCTCTCACTCGCTCTCTCTCTCACTCTTTCTTCCCTCGCTATCTCTCATTCTCTTTCCCTCCGTATATTATATATTATATATATATATATATATATATATATATATATATATATATATATATATATATGTGTGTATATATATTATATATATATATATATATATTATATATATATATATATATATATATATATATATAATATATATATATATATATATATATATATATAATATTATATATATATATATATATGTATACATATATCTTTCTCTCTCTCTAAATTGATTTTCTCTCTCTCGTTTCTCCCTATCGCTCTCTCTTTCTCTCACTATTGCTTTCTCTATCGCTTTCTCTCTCCTTTCTCTATCGTCTCTCTCTCTCTCTCTCTCTCTGTCTTGCCAGCGTAAGGGATTTCCAACGCACATATCATAAACTTTTTCTCTCCTTTTCTCTTGCTTCTTTTCTTATTTTCTCTTTTCTTTCACTCATTCTCCGCCTCGCTGTGCCGAAGCAAACCCCATTTAAGGCATGAAATCTGAGAATCTCTCTTGAATCTGCGAACTCCTTCAAGTTTCCTTTCAATCTTTTTTCAAGTTTCTTCAAGTTTCTTCGAATTTCCTCAAGCTCCTTCAAGTTTCTCGGACTTGTGTGTTAAGATCTGATGCTGGGAGTCCTTCTTCGATTTTGTTTTTTTTGTTTTGTTTTCCTTTTCACTGTTGAATTGTAAGCCGTCCTGGTGTTAGCATACAGCATTCTCTTATGTACACACACACATACACTCATATACACGCAAATTGAATGTGTGTTAACGGCGGAACCCTTTGCAATTCAGCAGTGAAAAAGCAGATACACGCACACACACACATATATACACATACACCCCATCTGTGTGCGTATATATATGTATATGTATTTGTGTATGTTTAAACACACACACACATATATATAATATATATATATATATATATATATATATATAATATATTATATATATATATATATATATATATATATATATATATAGTATATATATATATGACATGTCCACAGCGAGCGATGAGGACGTCATTCCGCTCAAACGGGATCGCAAGCAGCTTAGACGCACAGAGGACATGCTAAGCAGTTTACGGGTCTCTTCTCCCTGCGAGCTTGGTCCTTCTGCTCTGGGTCCGCCAAGCGCTATTCTTCAAAGGCACTGACTCCCTTGTGGACAGCCAGAAGCCAGGCGATGCGGTCAGAGGCAAGCGTTCCCCAGCCCTGAAGTGGGATACCACGGGCTACATGGAATGTTTTTAAGCAGTCTTGGAAGCGCTCGAGTGGCCGGTTGATGTTTTTTTTTTTTTTTTTTTTTTTTTGCGCCAGAAGCCAGTTCAGAGAAGACGATCTTTGGAAGGTGCGAGTCGGCCGTCCGTATGACATGCCCAACCGACCTCAGCTGCGCTCCCGTGACGAGTGCGTAGATGCCAGGCATGTCAGCTCTGCGAAGTACTCTCTGTTGGAGATTCTGTCACGTCATGAGATGGCCAGGGTCTTGCGCTGGCAACGGAGATGAAACTGATCCAGGGTTCTCGGTTGTTTCCTGTACAGCGTCCAGGTTTCACAACCATAGAGCAGAGAAGTGATGACAGCTGCTCTATAGACTGCCACACTCGACTCCAAAGCCTGCCGAAAGAAGCGTCTGTTTTTGCTATTCTGTTCGGGCTTCTTTGTCCATGTTGCAGGCTGAGGACAAGCAGCTCCCCGGGTAGATGAAACTATCCACTTTGTTCAACCTTGTGCCCCCAATTTCGGTAAGTATATAGTATATATATATATATATATATATATATATATATATATATATATATATATATATAATATATATACGCCTGAACGCCTGTATGTATGTATGAATATAAATTTGCTTTTTGCTTGTATATTTGTGTGTTCACGCGCGTGTACGAGTATGTGGGTCTCCCAATATATAGCTCGCAAGGGTCATCTGTTGCGTCTGTGTGTACCCATATCTG